CTTTTGCTTATCCATTTAATACGCGGACATCAACTAATTTAGCCATTTCCCCCCATTTCACCAGCCACCCCTATCATATTTGAGAAAAGGCCCACAATAGTCCCTAATCTTTGGATTAAAATTTAAAATCATTTTTGAGTTTTTATATGGTGCATTAATAGTCTTTCGTGTTTGCAATATTGATGAACTTTTGGTCCTTCTCCAAAATTTGCTTATTTTTTAATATTGATTTTATCCATAATTTATGTATGAAATGTTTAATCGTCATTTATATATTTAGTAAAAATAATAACTCCACGTGAGAGAATGTGAGAAGAAAAACACCTTATTTTATTTAATAAAAATCGTATTGCAGGTAAAGTCAAGAGGTTCATCACGACAATTTCATGTGCAATAGTATAATTTTTTCTTTTCTTACAACGTCATATGTTAAAATGTTCTTAGCTTAGTTGCAGTAATATTTCTTCTGAACAGAACAATGTGTTCTTCTTCTCACCTCCTCTCACATAGAATTATTATTTCTACTAAATATATAAAAAGACGATTGGGCATTCCTTACATAAAATTGTGGACAAAATTAATGTTAAAAAATATGCAAAAGTTTAGGGGAGGACCAAAAGTGCACTAATATTGCAAACATGAGGGATTATTAGTGCTCTGTGTGAAAACTTAAGGATGACGTTGAGTCTTAACACAAAGATGATGGAATATTTTGGGCCTTTTCTCAAAATTTATTTATACTCATTAAGTTTAGAATATGAATAATGCGGAGATGAAGATATTGAGATAGATGTGTTAATATATTGAGAGTGATAAAATTAAAAATGAGATTATCTGAAAGAAAGTGAAAATAATTTATGTGACGAACAAGGATAAAAAAATGAGACTGAAATAATTTGGACAGGTGTAAGAAGGTGTACTGACATCCTAGTGAGGAGGTGCGAGAGCTAGTTATAGGGGGTACGTGGAAGGGTAGAGCTAGGTAGGTCGAAAAAGAATTGGAAAAAGGTGGTTAGACATGACATGATGTAACTTCATATTATTGAAGACAAATATAACTTTAGATAAAAATCGATGGAGGTTGTGTATTAGGGTAGAAGGTTAGTCAAGTTGGAGTGTTGTCTTGTTGCGTGTAGGTTTAAGCTTGGTAGTGTTTGTCGTAGTACTAGTCATACTCTTTTAGTTCTTGCGTGTGTTGTCAATTGTGTTCTGATTATTGCACTACTTTGTTGTTGTTATTATTTATTTCTTGTAGACTTTACACTGTTTTTTTTTATTAAGGGCTATATTTTCTTCTTCTTTTATTTTGATTGGATTTAATTTGATGCACTTGAGCCAAGTCTTTCGAAAAACAACCTCTCTACTTTCATGAGATAATAATAATAAGATCGGTAAATACTCTACTTTTTTTAGACTCTACTGAATATTTTTTTACTGAGTATGTTATTGTTATTGTACTCTTTGTCATAAACAAAAATGACAATTTAATATCTCCTTAATAAATTTGACATGTTTTTTTATAAAAAATATAGATAGTTAAGTTTAATCACTGATCAAATAAACACTTAGGGTCGTTTGGTAGAGTGTATTAGGAAAAATAATGCATGCAATGCATTGTGTATTACTAGTACCTTGTTTAGTACTCTTTTCCAACCTATGTATAACTAATGCTTGCATTAGTTATACACACTATTGTGTATTAAGGTGAGTATTGTTAATACCATGGATTTCTAGGTATTAGCAATGCAATGGTTTTAATGCATGCATTAGATTAACTAATGACAAAACTACCCTCTAATAATAATAATAATAATATTATTATTATTATTATTATTATTATAATAATAATTATTATTATTTTTTATTTTTTTTTTGTAAAAGAATGCGAGGGTATTTTTGTAAACAAATATTTTTTTAATAGTCTTTATACAAGGCTTGCTATTTCCAATACATCAAACCAAACAATGTATAAGAAATAATGCAAGCATAACTAATACATCATATTCAGCATTATTCTTATACACACTACCAAACGACCCCTTAAACTTAAAAAAAAAAAACCCGTATATTTTGAACAGATGTGCACATAAGACCAACTGAGTGAAACGCATTTTATTTCTAATGTTTTATTAAGTGGATCAATTATTAGATAACACGTATAGTATTTTGACGAACAATTTAAAATATAATAAATACAATTCAAAAAATATAAACTCACTTTATTTTGCCTTGACTTGTCAATAATCTCTAAAGTTCAAATGTCAAATTCAACTACAAATTATCGATTGAAAACCTCATTCATCAACTGAAAATATCAAGCAAAAGAACACTATAAAATTTATAAAATAAGTACAATTTTTTTATTTGTAGAAGGTAGGGTCGAATTTATAGGCAAAATAAGGGGTATGTGAACCCATGATTTCTCCATTAAATTATGCATTTTATGTGTATATTTTATAATATATACTATATAATATTATCTGTTGACACTCATGCTACAAGAAGACTAAATGATACATTTGAATGTTAAATTATTTATGAAGAAAACCATGGACCAATTCTCACTTGATACACTTTTTCCCTTTTTTAACGATGCACTCATATTCTAGAAAATCTGAATTCGCTAAAGTATAAAAATCTCGATTCATTTCTCCCTTCATCGTTTGATTTTTCGAAGGATATACAAGACTTTTCTTCAGTTCTTTGGGTGTGCCATTACAATGGGCCGTTGAGTGATTCAAACGGGCCTTTTAATTATTGAGGCCCACTAATTTGAAGGAAAGTGAATTTTCTTTGTTCACATATCATTTCTATTTTAGAGAGAAAAAAATACTTAGGATATACTTCATTCATTTTTATTTAGAGCAACTTTCATATATAGCAAACACAAAATTCATATTTGTATGCTATAACAAAGTTTGCATAATTGCGCTCCATAGCAAACATAAATATGTATATTTCGCTATACATATACAAAAGAAAGCAATTGTATAATCTGTTTTGGTATACATATACAAAAAGATCAATTATATAAAGTGAGAGAGGTGAGTGAGCGAGCGAGATCTGGGAGAGGGGAACGAAAATATATGTATATATACAATTTTCACGCATTTTATACATTTGCGTTTTTGTATAAAGTGAGAGAGGCGAGTGAGAGAGCGAGATCTGGGAGAGGGGAACAAAAATATATGTATATATACAATTTTCTCTCGTTTTATACAAACACAAATGCATTTTATACAATTTGCATTTTTGTATAAAGTGAGAGAGGTGAGTGAGAGAACGAGATCTGAGAGAGTGGCGAGTGAGATCTGGGAGAGGGGAACAAAAATATATGTATATATAGAATTTTCTCTCGCTTTATACAAACACAAACGCACTTTATACACTTGCGTTTGTATAAAAAACGAGAGAGGCGAGGGAGAGAACGAGAGTGGTGAGCGAGATTCACCAGGAGAGAGGTGAAATACCAATAGTTTGCTATGAGGTACAATTAAATCAAACTATATTTATAGCATTTAATTTGAATTAATAGTTTGCTATTATATACAATCTTCCCTTTTATTTATTTGAGACCTCTAAATTGAATATTGAATTTTCTTTCTCCCCATTTTAATAAATTTTAAAAGTTATTATTTAAAATAATAGTAGTTAAATTTAGAGTTTTAAAAAAATCTTAAATAAAATACATACCTAATAAAATCATTGTGATATCAAATTATCAATCTCTTGAATAAGAGATTCTATTGGCTAAGATCAACAATATTTTAGGAGAGACTAAATTGCTTATAAAAGAAATTATTAGAAATTTTATATAATAAAAAGTTTTAAAAAGTCGTTTTCAAACTTAAGTATTCCATTAAATTTAAATTCGAGGCTACCAATTTTATTAATTCATTTCCGAATTAAATAATAGAATAATTAATAATTATGCTAAATTTATAAATATTTTATTATTAAAAAACCAAAATTCAAAAATGAATATTTCTTCATTTAAACATGAAATATTTAATCAAATTTTATACGGATCAAAATTAAAATTTATTCAATAATCAGAGTTCAAAAATGTTATTGGCCTATATGTTGGAGGCAGGGCCGGCTCTATGCTTATTTGAATAAGGCATTGGCCTTAGGCCCCCAATTTTAGGGGGCTTCAATTTTTTATCAATAATAAATTATGTGTTAAATTTTTATAGAAAAGATTGATTATTTATGATAATATATATATTTTAAAAGGCATATATATTTTATTCTCTTTAATTCCATTTAAATAGAAGAAATCAAGAAAAAATGTTTTATTTTCTTACACTACACTAATATTCACATTATTTTATTCTTTTAACTCCTTTTACACTCTCTTTTTTAAATTTTTGATAAGTTAGAGTAATATTCTATCAAAAATATGAATCAATAGTCGAAAAGTGTTGAGTGAATTGTGAATTCTTTTTCTCTTTCTTCTTAGATTTTCAAGCATTACAACAAGCATAGTAAAATGTGGGGTATACAAAATTATCAACTTCTTGAATCAAATTCTATGTTAACAATTCATATAATAATTGCCCGAGTAAGAAATGTTTTTCAACGTTGAATTGATAAAATCTTATCTAAAGCTAATAATTGTAAAAGAAATCGAATAAATCATTTATAAAAAAAATATTAAGTATGCTTTGCATTTAAAAATGTAAGTTTTTTTTTTTTTAAAAAAATTAATGCATATGAAGTTTATTTAGATTTTAGGCCTCTAGTTGAAATTCGCTTTAGGCCTCCGATTGCGTTGAGCCGCCCTTGGTTGGAGGTCTCAAATTCGAATCTCCTCGCTAGCGAAAGCAAGATGTATGCTTTCTAAGTCAAGCTTGTCACACGGACTTGTCTAGTGCGAGTTACCTTTTATGTGTGGTTTACAAGCTATTGCATAAAATGACGTTTTAACCCTGTGCGCAACCAAATGTAGTAACTGCGGGTAACTTAAGGGCAAAAATGAAACGGGTAAATTTGGTTTTGGGTCGGGGCGACGGGTCAAATAGGAAGAGGAACGAGGGGAAACCCTAATTAAATATAATCATCCACTTCCATACACTCGCAGTCGGCCGCCGTCGAATTTCTCCCGTACGTATTCTCAAACTTTTTCTCCGGCGATGAACTTTCTTTTGAGATCTGATGATTTTTGTTTTGTTTTCAGTATTTGAATAACAGCAGAAGAGAAACAAGTGTAAAGATGAGCCGAGCAGCAGCAGCAGCAGCTAAGGGCGGGAAGAAGAAGGGGGCAAGCTTCGTCATTGACTGTTCGAAGCCAGTGGAGGACAGTATCATGGAGATTGCTTCTCTTGACAAGTTCCTTCAAGAGAGAATTAAGGTTGGTGGAAAAGCTGGTGCTCTTGGAGATTCCGTTGCTGTTACTCGTGATAAGAACAAAATCACCGTCACTTGCAACTCCACTTTCTCCAAGAGGTACTAACTAGTACTATATTACCACTCCTCATTTCGTTTAGTTTGTGTTTTTGCCTCATTTTTAATTGGATTTATTTGAAAAAATTGATGGTTGAAACTTCGTGTGGGTCGACTTTCATTGTAGTTTGATAATGTTTATTCTGACAGATTGAGAGTAACTTATCCTAAACCTATTCATTTATTCGGGATGTGCTATGCTTTGCAAGGAGTTGTTTTATTTGGAATAGTGTCGTCGTTCACGTATTGAGCTTTGAGTCCGTTGATAATGGGTTAAAAAGGCGTTCTTTTTATTCGGAAGATGATTGTGTTATGGCATTCTACTGCTTGTTTATTCAAAACATTATCCTATTTACATTGAGAAATAAGGAGAAACAGAAGAACTAAAACAGCAGTGTAATATCTTGTAAATAATCATTTGTAACTTGAACAAGGTATCCTCATCATCCTTGTAGCTCTTGCTGAACTTATGGAACAGATAGTCTATGAGGTCTACACTAAAACGTCCCAGATTAGAAGTTGGGGTTGGCTTTTATCATACTTGGATTATTTTCAAGACTGACAAATTGACAGTAACTTATCATAGCCTCTTTTATCGCGACTTGTCTCTGCTTTTCAGAGAGCTCTTACTTGGAATATTGCATTCATTCATATTTTAATCTCTAGGGTAGATTACCAATGGTTTTTAAAAGAGGTCCTTTTTGCAGTTTATTTTAGTTTGAGTGCCCTGCACTGCCAGTCTAAGAAATTAGCCCTTCTGAAGATGATGGGCTTATGTCATCCTACTTACATTGATAAGCAAAGAAACAACAGAACAAAAATGGTGGCATAATATCTTGTAATTATTCGTAAATCCAACTGTTTGGTCTTCTTATATAGCTGCTTCAACCAGGCCCCTGAAACCACTGTTACTTTTTTTGGACTATATCTGCTCTTTAGTTATTTAGTAAATTCTTGTACAGGAGCAGACCCCTTCTTTTGCTGTAATTGTTTGCCTTGCATCTTCTTGATGCCTTCTAATGAAATCTCCTTCATAATTTTTTTTTTATCCGTAACTTGAATAGGGTATCTGCATAATGTTATATTATTATAATAATCCTCACAGATCTTCCTAAAATTATGGTCAGATTGTCTGTGAGCATTAGCTAGATTAAATTATTTAGCACCACTCATTTCTCAGTGAAGTGGATTCTTAAGTAGGCAGTTGTTGGTGAGACCAATTAGACTGCAACCTAGCCTTTCACTTGTGTCCATTAGTTTGCGTCAAGTGCAATTTTGTTGATTTCATCTTTTACATCCATGATCACACAGAATAATACACTTGGATTATGTCATATTACACGTAAAATAGGCTTGGAAGAACTAATATGTATTAAGTTGTTTGTAACTTGAAAGAGATAGGTAATTGATATGTATCCAGGCTTAGTTACTCAAAAAAGATTGATATTAATGATCATTGTAGATACTCTTGTTAATTGAAACATCCTTCAGGGGGCGTGTAAGTATATTTTTCATGTTTTTTTGTTGGGCTCTGAAGAAATTCTTCGTTTTTTAAATACGTTTGATGCAGCTGAGTAGAATCTATAGTGGTATTCTTGTTTCATCTGATATATGTTTCTAAGCTTATTTTGGAAGTGACATCAACCACTTATTAAGCATCACCATATACCTACGCATCTTAGGTTCAAGTTAGTCTAAAGGCTACTTGCAACATGTATATCAGTTTACCTTGGGGCAAATTATGTATGCCCGATTAATGAAAATAGCCCTTGTGATGTTGCGTTACTGCTATGTATTCTATCAATCCCCCACCAAAACCAAAAGAACACTGTCAAAAGTAGTGAATTCAGGCATTCAAGACTAGTAAACAACTCTTGACTTACAGTCTCTACTTCTATTTTTCAGGTACCTCAAATACCTTGTCAAGAAGTACTTGAAGAAAAATAACGTCAGGGATTGGCTTAGGGTGATTGCTTCCAACAAGGACAGGAATGTTTATGAGTTGCGCTACTTCAACATTGCTGAGAATGAAGCAGATGAAGAAGATTAAACATGGCCCATTCAACGGCCCTTTATCTCCTTCTTGAGTCAACCTTCTTATTTAGAACCTTATATCATATGTTTGAGTTATCAATGAGTCTAATATTCTCACTTCTAGATTATTGATTTTTTGTTCCCTTATCAGTAAAAGAAAACATTACTTTGATACTTTGGTTTGTTTATCTTTGGGGTCAACTTTGCGCAAGTCATTAATTTATCTGTATGGCGTTTTCTCCTCTTGATGATCACATGTAATTTATTGAGTTCATTTGTTGTCTGCGTCTTTTGTTTAATCACCCCATGATTGTTGACTTCCTCTTGAGTTTGTCTTAAAACGATGCAAGTGTGATGAGAATTTACAGAAAAGATCGATTGGGTGTGTGGGAGCAGATCAGCAGAATGGTATATTTCCAGGATTAGGATTCGTATATGTATTTATCAGATCTTCATTTCATATCTTTCATTTTCGACCTGCTTGCTCTATAGAAGTACCAAAGACTTTCGAGACTTACAAGTTACACCTCCCTAATATCAGAACCTAGGAAGGAAAACTTAAGTTTTCATACACATTAACAAGAATGTTTATGAATTTTTGGTGTTTTGGTGTTTGGTATCCATATTGGAGCTTGATTAAATTTGTGTTCGCATCGAAAAGTTCCACACCGTACTCAAAGGACTTGAAAGTGCTTCCTAACAAAGATGATTCCCTGGTTTAGAATGGAAAATATTTATCACTCCATTTTAACCCTTATTATTATGAATTGCCCTACTTCATCATTGCTTTCAACAATGACTATGCATTTTAAGAGTAGAAGTCATGTGAGACATAACTTGTGATATAGTAGAAGTACTCGATATAGTATATAGTAGTACAAAAATGATTCATCCTTATTTTATTATGATGCAAAAATATAAACTTATGCCTAATAATTTTATTTTTTTTATTACAAGGGAGAAAAGTTAAGAACCTAACCTAAAATAGGGCCAAAAGTGCAAATTAGAGCGAGGTGTCACATATAGGAAGTAGGAACAAAGGAAAACCCTAATTTATCAGAGTCATCACTTCCATACACTCACAGTAGGCCGTCGAGTTTCTTCCTGTACGTATGCTCCAACTTTTTCTTCTCTGTTTCTCTAACGATGAACTTTTGTTCTTGAGATCTGATGATTTTTGCTTTGTTTTCGTTATTTGAATGACAGTAAAGAGAAATACAGAGCGTAAAGATGAGCCGAGCAGCAGCAGCAGCAGTGAAGGGCGGGAAGAAGAAAGGTGCAAGCTTCGTCATTGACTGTTCGAAGCCAGTAGAAGACAGTATCATGGAGATTGCTTCTCTTGACAAGTTCCTTCAAGAGAGAATTAAGGTTGGTGGAAAAGCTGGTGCTCTTGGGGATTCCGTTACTGTCACTCGTGACAAGAACAAGATCACCGTCACCTGCAACTCGACTTTTTCCAAGAGGTACTAATTCTATTGCCTCATTTTCAGTTGTGTTTATTTGAAAAAAAAAAAAAAGGTTCTAGAAGCTAAACTGCTTGTAGATCCCAAATTACTAGCTGCGGTCGACTTCCATTGTAGTTTGATTATGTTTACACTTACAGATTGACAGTAACTTATCGTAAACCTATTCGTTTATTCGGGGATTGAGGGAGTTCTTTTATTTGGAATAATGTAGTCATTCACACATTGAGGTTTCAGTCAGTTCATAATCAGTTGAAAAGAGGTTCTTTTTGCTGTTTATTTTTGTATTAAGAGTTCCCCAGACTTCAAGTGTAGTTCCACTCTGAATTATACTGTATATTTATCCGAAAACATTAGCCTATGTACATTGAGAGATAAGGAGAAAGAATAACTAAAATGGCAGTGTAGTATCTTGTATGTAATCGTTGTTAACTTGAGCAGGGTGTTCTATTGATCCTTGAAGCTGTTTCTAAATTTATGGAACAGATAGTCTAAACGACTATGAATGGGTCCCAAATTAGAAGGCGGGGTTGGCTTTTATCGGAGTTTTGATTATTTTCACGACTGACAGACTGATAGTAACTTATCATAGCCTTTTTTAGTTTGGCTCGTCTCTGCTTTACAAAGATTTCTTATTTGGCTAGTGCAACAGCAACAACAACAACATACCCCATGTAATCCCACAAGTGCGGTCTGGGGAGTGTAGAGACTCTGCACTATCCGTAGAGTGTATGCATACCTTCTTTGGATAGTGCAGTCATTCATAAATTGAGCTCTGGAGTCAGATTGCTAATGGTTTTAAAAGGAAGTCGTTAACTGTTTATTTTAGTTAGAGTTCGCTGCACTGCAAGTCTAAAAAAAACTTTCCCTTCTATTCAGGATTTTCATACTGAAGAATATGAGTTTATATCATTCTATTGTTTGTTTATCTAATGCATTATCCTATTTACATTAAGAAACAAAAAAACAATAGAACGGAAAATGGTGGCATAACATCTTGGTGTTGTTGTTTCATCTATTTTATGTTTCTAAGCTTGTTTGGAAGTGACATCAACCACTTATTAGCTTCACCATTCACCTACACATCTTAGACTCAAGTGATATTCTAAAGGCTACTTGTAAAAGAAACCGATGTCTAAAAGAGAGGCGAATGCACAACATTATATCAATTTACTTTGGGGCAAATTATGTATGCCCGATTAAAGAAAGTAGTTCTTATGATGTTAAGTTATTGCTATGTACTCCTACCCTTCCAAAACCAAAAGAACAGAGTGTTAAAAGTAGTGAAATCAGGCACTCGAGATTAGTAAACAACAGCTTGACATACAATCTTTACTTCTATTTTTCAGGTACCTCAAATACCTTGTCAAAAAGTACTTGAAGAAAAATAACGTCAGGGATTGGCTTAGAGTGATTGCTTCCAACAAGGACAGGAATGTTTATGAATTGCGCTACTTCAACATTGCTGAGAATGAAGCAGATGAAGAAGATTAAACATGGCCATTCAATGTCTCTCTTTATCTACTTCTTTAAGCGGCCTTCGTTTTTTGATCCTTATATCATCTGTTCGAGTTACTAATGAATCTTGTCTTCTCATTTCTAGTTTATTGTTTTGCAGTTTGCTTATCAGTAAAAGAAAACATTACTTTGATACTTTGGGGTTGAGTATGCAAAAGTCAATTTATCTGTATTGCCTTACTCCTTTTGATGATCACATGTAATTTAAATTGTGTACATGGGAGCTAAACAACCAGGTGAAAGTCTAGGAAGGAGAAATCCCAAGGGGATTATAAGGTGGTAGCTTTCAGTTGGTTGACTATTTGAACTCTCACTAATTGTTGGTGATGTTTGATTCTACACCTTGTAAACCTCTCTCATTTAAAATACTTAAAAGGGAAAAAGTTATATTTCAATACATAACTAAGATTAAAATAATATAAATATCTCATAATCAATGTTTTTAATGTGGCATATAAATGAGAAGCATGATAAATAATTGGCTTAAACAATTGATGGTCCTCTAAAGTGGGTATTATTTTTCAGACACCTAAATTTGACAATGTTCATTTGAAGCACTTTATTTAGCACAACCTGGTGTTGACCACAAGTGTGTTTGACGCAAACTCTTATCTACATGGATTAATTGACCAGTTAGCCCTTTACATGTCATTTTTGCTTCAAACCAAAAGATGGTTTGATCTTTCAACTTCTAAGTGTCGCTAAAAATGTCACAATGATCGAGTGGGATCCTACTACGTGAGGTGTTTAAAATGAACGTTGTCCAGTTTAGGTGTCTAAGTGAAGCATAGTGCCAACTTGCCACTGATGGATTAGGCCTAAATAATTTGAAGTGGAGAAAGTTTTACGCTTGCTATGAAGAATTATATGCTATTGAATATTAGAAAATTCTATAGGGTCGAATGTTGATACCCATTTTTTTTTAAAAAATATGGGTAGGGGAAGGGGAAGGGGAACAAGGTGGGAATCAAACGGTCGCCATCAAGATGAAAATTCAGGTAGCTAACTAACTAAATTACTAAAGTTCTTGCAATACACGAAATTAAACTAAGTTCTTGCGATACATGAAATTAGGCTAACGAAATCAAGTTTCGAATTAAAGTACACGTTCAAGTACAGCTTTAAATACTCGAATTTTCAAACTTAAAAATTCATGGCCGGAAGCTAAACTCTGTGGTTTGAGCATTGAAACCACTGCTTAACTACCCTTCCCGCCTGGGAATGTCCCAAAATCCAAATGAAGATATCAACCAGAAAACTCATATCTTTAACGCACCCTTCTCTCAATCTTTGGCATCCAACTGTCGATTGTTTCACTTGGAATACTCTCATCAGAGCCTATGTTCAACGAACTCATCAACCTTCAGGCCCCACCCATACCCCACTCTCCATCTTCCTCCGAATGCGCTCCCATGGCGTCCATATTGATTACTACACCTTCCCTTTCCTCCTCCAGTCCGTCCATTCTCCACCACACCTCCAATTGGGACGATCCATTCACTCACAGGTTCTTGTTTTTGGTTTTTCATCCGACCCATTTGTCCAAACCTCGTTGATCAGTATGTACACTGCTTGTGGCGATGTGGGGTCTGCACGAGATGTGTTTGATGAAATGTCTCAACCGGATTTGCCTGCGTGGAATTCTATTGTTAATGCGAATGTGAAAGCGGGTTTGCTTAGTGTTGCGCGTGAACTGTTTGTTAAAATGCCTAGTAGAAATGTTGTATCATGGAGTAGTATGTTGGATGGTTATGTGAGGTGGGGTAAGTGTGAAGAAGCATTGGAGTTGTTTAATGAGATGATAAAAGAAAATGAGGTTATGCCTAATGAGTATACCATGGCTATTTTGCTTGCGGCGTGTGAGCAGTTGGGTTCACTTGAACACGGGAAATGGGCTCATGCTTGTGTTTACAAACTTGGGATGGAGATTAATGTTGTTCTTGGGACTTCGTTGATTGAAATGTACGCTAAATGTGGGAGTATAGTCCGGGCAAGACTAGTTTTTGAAAATTTGGGTCCGAAGAAGGATGTAATGGCTTGGAGTGCCATGATCTCAGGTCTTGCGATGCATGGACACTGGGAAGATTGCCTCTGTTTGTTTTCAAATATGGTTGACAGCGGAGTAATGCCTGATGATATCACGTTCTTAGGTGTTCTTTCTGCTTGTGTACATGGAGGATTGGTAAACCAAGGG